GTATCCCAACAGTTCACGAGTGATGACTGCGAAAGGAGTCATTAACCTGAAACTGATCTGGCACCAACGGGAACTGGTCCACCCATTCTTCATGGTCCCAGACTTACCACATGCAACCTACATAGGCTCTGACATCTTGGTAAGATTAGGTGTCCGAGTGGACACCAGCCACAATGTACTGTGGTCACTAAAACCAGCCAAAGAGGATCCTCCTGTGCTAGACACAGCAAACCTTACAGCTGGACAGACCATTCCAGAGGTCTGCCAGGTTCCTAACAACCAAAACACCTCAGGTAACAAACCTAATGGTACGAGTCCACATCGTGGCGGGACAAGCTATTAGCCTTAAACAGGTGTACTTTCAACCATCTTCTACGTTTTTCAAACTAGGACTGTCCATTGAGGCCGCAATCCAAGTGAGCCTCAACTCCAGAACCACATCTGTTGCTGTGTGCAGCACAGAAGAGGTACTGATCCCCAAAAACACAAAGCTAGGATGGTTGATCTCCACAGATTTTCATGATTTTGAACTAGGCATTCCATTTCTGGGAGGACTCCCAGACAACCTGGTAGCGTGTCAAGAGACTAGTCCAGTTTGGTTCACGAAACCAACACAGGCCATAGCTCTCTTCTCAACCAATGATGTTGATAAAGGACCTCAAACCTATAGTGTCTTACCTATAGACAGGTCTAACGACACAGACAGGGACTCACTAGACCTCCCCAAACATCAAGAACCCTTAGCAATCTCTTCACAGATTGAACAGGTGGTCGCCCAAGCCGACGCCCTGACGACTGATGAAGAAAGGGACAAACTCCGCCAAGTTCTCCTGAAATATGAGAAGTCATTCTCGACTAACTCAATGGATTGTGGGTTGACCTCGCTCCACACAGTGAGCATCCCAACTCACTGCCTACATTTGTCAGACAATACAAGATTCCCGTGGCAGCACATCAACCTGTCAAGGAAATCATTGATGACCTTTTAGATAAAGGCATAATCAGACATTGTAAAACCACCTACTCTGCACCTTTATGGCCAGTTTTGAAACCAAATGGTAAGTGGAGACTTACCATAGACTACAGAAAGCTAAACAAACGAGTTCCTTTATCCAGGTGGCCAATGACCTAGATCCAACAGGAACTGCCCAAGGTCACCAGATGGCAAGTACTTTTCCACCCTCGACGTCGCCTCTGGTTTTTGGACCATTCCTGTGCGCGCCGAGGACCAACACAAACTAGCTTTCACTTTTGGTAGCCGACAATACACCTTCACCAGGTGTCCCTTTGGCTACGCTAACTCACCAGCTGAGTTCAACATCTTTTTGAAAAAAGCATGTCCAGACGCCCACGAACATGGGACACTGATCTACGTGGACGATGTCCTTTTGAGGCAGCCAAGGGAGATAACGCCACGCTGAAAGCATTAAAACAAGTTGCTTATTGGCCTGTAATGAAAAAGGATGTCAAGGACTACATAAAAGGGTGCCTGGTCTGTGGCCAGTTTCAGCCATCCAGACCACTCCACAGAGCACCACTGCAAAGTAGAGGCATTGCATTCCCATGGTCTGACCTCCAGATCGACTGGATTGGACCACTTACTAAGAGCACTAGAGGAAATAAATATTTTCTCATGGTAACTTGCACATTTACCAAATGGGTAGAATGTCTACCAGCTCCTAACAACACAGCACAAAGAACTGCTATGTTACTAATGAATCATGTATTTTCAAGGTTTGGACTTCCCCTCAGGGTGAACTCAGATCAAAGTACACACTTCACCGCTGAAGTGATGAAAGAACTGTGGAAGATGCTAGGCATCAAAGTCAACTTCCATGTTGGCTACCACCCAAAAGCCTCAGGCCAAGTGGAGAGAGCAAACAGAACTGTGGTAAGTATTTAGAAGAAATACGTAGCCGCAAACCACAAGGATGGGGGCGTGAAACTCCCTCTGGTCCTCATGGCCATAAGGGCCATTCCACACACATCGACTGTCATCTCTCCCTTCAAGATGATGACGGGTCGACAAATGACGCTCCCTCTACACCTGTTGTACCAACCAGGTGATACCACCATGGCAACAGCCTACACCACACAACAATACATGAATGACTTGGAAAAACACCTTAAAAACACCTTTGATTTTGCCCAGAGAAACCTGGAAAAATCCGCTGAAGGACGAAAAGCGTACTATGACCAAAAGGCCTCTCACGAGGAACTCCAAGTGGGAGATAGGGTCTGGTACTACACGCTCGCCCCCACAACCGGGAAATGAGAGGCCGGGACCGGAACTCTCGCCCGCAAACTGATGCCCAGGTGGACTGGACCCCACCTGATAACAGACAAACTGTCTCTTGTTGTCTACCAGATCAAAATTAGCAAAGGCCAAAAAGAGCCAATTGTTAAATGGGTACATCGAAACCAGGTCAAACTACACAAAGCGTTCAATAACTCCACAACAGACAAAGATCTCACAAACTCAGACCTCATGGGAAAAAGGGTCATCCAAACAGAATATAGATCATGTTGAGACCACTTCTATTAATCCTCACCCTCTTGGGAACCATCCAAGAAGAACAAGCCGAGGCGGTGACCCTTGGGCCCACCTCCAGCATCATTCTTAGGGACCAACCCAGACTGCTCATCACGAACTGTCGTCTTCACACACAGAAGGTCTTCATCCGTTTCGACCCCTACACTGTTATCAAACAGCACATTAATATCAAAGACGAATGGTTCAACAAACCATGGTATACATTACCAATCCAAAATGTAAATGAGGAAATCCAACACATTTTGAAGCAGTTACATAAGTTCACTCTCACTCAAGAGGAAGTGAGTGGAACACATAATTGACAGAAGCGTAGCATTGCAGGGCTTCTTCTTGCTGCCTCCTCTCTCGGATCCTTGTTTAGCCTAGGCTTATCAGCAGTCAAGGGTTAGGGTTAGGGTCAGTATAACATCCTTACAACAACATGTTAATGAAATTGAGATGGAGATCCCATGGATTAAAACACAGATGGATCAACAGCAAACACAATTCACACAGGTGACCAAAACGGTAAAAGATACTATCTTAGTACTGAATACCCACACACAAGAAATTAAGGCCCTTGCAAATATCGTTAGTGAGCTAAAACGTGATGTAGAAATGGACTACGCCGTCGTACACCTGATGGATAGGATCCTTACGGACACGCTCAGAGACTCAGCTCGTCTGTTGATACTTTAGCCACTGCCAGGATCCCACCCTATCTCGTCTCCTTACAGATGGTAAGTGACATCCTTAGTTCTGCCACGAACGAAAAAGTAAGGCCAATCCAGGCTCACCTGGCTTATGCTCTCAGTAGCGCGATCCCAATTCACGTCAGACACAAAGTGCGTGAAATTGCGTTCATTATCAATCTACCAATCATCCCTGCGAATGGCATCTACAGACTCAAGGATGTCGTTAATGTTGGAAATTGGCACAGTGATAACCACGTCAAGGTCAACACCCCTCAGGTGGTTGCTTATTGCGATAGTAACCCCACCGTCTATTTAGCTCCAAATCTCTAGATGTGTACTCCCACTCATGAGATACATTACCTGTGTCCAAGCAAGCCCTTCATCTGGTACAATGCCGCAGGCATTTGTGGTATTACACCCATTCCGAGAGATTCGAAATGCACAACGACCATAACACCGCATAGACAAGTAACAGCCACTCAGGCGGAAAGAGTCGGTTCATGGTGGATAGATAACACTCCTCAACGGAATGCGATCATTGCCTATGAACACACCGAGGCCAATAGAACCTTGGCCCTACTGGACAAGACAATGTGGATCGATGTCCCTCAGGGGACAACCATACACATTGGTGACTTGACGCTCCATCACCTCCACCCGGATCAATGGGAAATGGCTCTATAAGAACCTGAGTACCTTACAAACATGAGCCTAGTGATAGACCCGGACACCATAGAGCAAATTCGATTAGAAGGAACTAAGGGCATAGAGGTCGAACCAATAGACCAGGTCCTCAGGACCCTCGCATCCAGACCTCGGCATCCATATCAACCTCTCGCCTACGCGTGGTCCAGGGCCGACACGTTAACCTTGGTTCTAGTTACGACATTATTCCTCATAATGATCGGAACGATTGTGTTCCAAATCCGCCACAATCGCTCCCTTCAGGCCCAACTAGATCGTTGCACAAGACAACTTGCCGATGTGAATCGTCGCATACGAGATCCAAGAGGATAAACACCCAGACAGATCAGCGTGATGGAATCTGGCAGTCAGAGTGAGTGATGCAGTTGAAATGTTGTTTTCTGGTTGCTTGATCACTACTGTTGTCGATGTTGAGACATTGTTTATTTGGTTTGGTATTGTTTCTGAACACCCCCAGCAAGAATGAATTTTGTGTGTACTTTAGTTAGAGACTATGAGGACTTTAACTATGCCAACATGCAGTTCATTTGTTAAACTTCAATCTTTGAGGAGTCAATGTAGATTAATGCTACCTTAAGTACCATAGCCAAACCTACTCGAACGATCCTATTCGGGGG